ATAACCAAGAAATTTGTGGACTACATCCCTAAAATTGAAGATCCTTAGTGTGGCACACAAAATTCTTTGTGACCTAGCCACTACTAAAAGTTACCACTCTAGCTTTGTTCTTCATATTCTAGCAGTGCTAAACAGCTTGTTGAGTTTCTCCTGTACATCAGGCAGTTCACTTTGTACCTTTGCTCTTGCATTCCCATTGCCTGGGATAAGTCCTTCAAAATGAACCTTCAAAACTAATCAGGCACCAGGCACCGATGGCTCATTCCTGTAGTCCTAGCTATTGGGAGACTGAGATCAGGAGGATCAAGGTTCAAGGCCAGCCCAGGCAAGTAGTTCCGGAAACTCCATATCCAAAATAACCATAGCAAAATGGGCTGGAGATGTGACTCAAGAGGTAGAATGCATACTTTGCAAGTATGAAGCCCTGAGTTCAAACCTCAGTCCCACTAAAAAAAAAAAAAAAACTGCTCAGGCATCAGTTTCTCTGGAAAGGATTCCTCAGTCTCCCCTTCACCTCTAAGCTAAATGCTTCTTCTCTGTTCCAGTAGCACTCTGTCTAGCATTCCTTCATCTTTCACATATATCATAGTATTTATATATCTACTTCCTCCATCAAACTGGACCATTTTCCAGAGCAGGGGCTGTGTTGCCCTCATCTTTATGATCCCAGTGCCTAGCCTAAGGCCAGACTCCTAGTAAGTGCTTAAAGAATGGCTCCTAATTGAGTATTTTTTCTCTCCACCCAACATACAGTTTAATCTCATTCCTGGAAGCAGGTCAGAAAAAGTTTTCCTTGCCAATTGTTAACTTTAAGCCTTTATTAGCCTCCTTGTTTTAGGTTTCCAGTTCTCACATCTCTCACAAATCTCCACACATAACTCTTAGGATGTACACATTCTTTCCTTAAATACATTAATATATGTTTTAAGATTTTAGTCCCATCTTGTTGGTTTCAAACGTATTGTGTCTCCTTAAAATACCTTTGTATACCTGTGCTCTGATTATATTGATTTTACAGTTTCATTTTCAAAGCATAATTCCCTAATTGCAGAATTATTAATTTATTCCTTCAAAAATATTTTATGGTGCATCTATTATGTGCCAACTCTTGTACTTCCTTGGAATACTTAGCATAAGTAAAACAGGTAAGAACCTTGCTCTCAAGAAGTTGACAAGTGATACGGCATCCACCTAACAGGTGTGAGGCCGTGAGTTCAAACCCCAGAACCAGCAAAAAAAAAAAAAAAAAAAACCAAAAAACCACTGCAGGAATTTCCAGGTCCTTAGGGTCAGCTCACATTTGTCTCTAGATGGCAAATCACGAGGTCAAAAATGCTATTTTCAAGCCACTTAACAAAAAAATTGGAACAACAGTGTCTCAATGGCCCACAGGAAAGACAATGTATGTTTTATCAGATGAATTATAATCACTATTTCAATAAACAGACATGTAAAGTGTAAGTCAGTGGGCACCCGGGAAGTAAACTACTGAGTGGTAACCAGGAATAAGGTAACCGAAGAGCGCCCTTATTATGGTTAGTTTTTTATAACACCAAACAATCAAGAATATATTTTATCAGGAAAAAAACAGATCAGGTAAAAACTGAATAAATTCACAAGTAGATAAATACTGACTCAGGCTACCACCAATAGATTTCCACAGCTATCATTTTGTTGTTGCTTTTTTTGGTAGCCTTTTTCCCCATATTTAAAAAAGTTATACAAATATACTGAGAAAAGATCTGGAAAACACAGAAGAGTATAAGGAGAGAATAATTCCACTACTTCCAAAACATATAAACACCAGCTGGCAGAGTGGCTCAAGTGGTAGAGTACCTACCTACCAAGCATGAGGCCCTGGGTTTAAACCCCAGCAACACTCCCCACCAAAAAATATATATATAATATATATACAATATATATATAAACATCTAGTCATGTATCTTACTTCTGAGTGTTTTTTATTATATAATTTTTTTCATTTCACATAATTGATACTATAGTGAATATGATTCTATATCCTACTTTTATCACTAAACATAGGAGCATTTCACCATGTACTTATTCTTCTAAAATATGAATCTTTTAAAAATTTTTTATTGTATTATTTTTGTACTGGAGGAACATTGTGACATTTACAAAAGTGCTTACAATTAGTTAAATTCACCCCCTCCATCATTCTCCTTTATCCCCCTGTTCTCCTTCTTAGAATGGTTTCAACAGGTCTCATTTTTCCATTTTCATACATGAGTACATAGTCTGTCCACGATGTTCACCCTCCTATACCTTTTCCTTATATCCTCCCCACTACCACTGGTGCCAACCCCCAGACAGGACCTGTTTTACCTTCCTGTCCTTCATTTTTGAAAAAAGATATTTTTTGTTTGTTTAAGATATATATACAGGGAGTTTCATTATGACACTTCCATGTATATATGTATTATATTCCAAATTGGTTCATTCCTTCCACGTTTCTCCTTTCTACCTTAGTCCCCTCCTCCTGTTGACTTCCACAGGTTTAAAATTCTCTATTCATTCTTCTACAGAAAGGATCTCAAACATTAAAATATGGATTTGAGGTGAGATAATATTGCACCATGTAGTTATGCAAAAATTCTGCAACTGTATTGTTGGGCAGGTTATTGAAACATTTTGCAGCACAAAATAAATGAGTGCTCTCCCTTGCAACTATCTTAAAGGTGTTTAAGCCAAATGATTTGAACTATTTTAGGTCTTGTGATATTTATGCCAGAAAGTTCTCTTTTCAAATTGCCTAAAACGATATGAGGGCACCTGTATCACTAGATATTTTTACCTTGTTTTGTTTTGTTTTCCCAGTGCTGGGGACTGATCCTAAGACTGCACATGCTAGCCAAGTGCTCTGCCACACTGAACTACATCCCAGTCCCTAGCCATTTTTACTTTGTCATCAATGTGATAGTTTAAAAAGGATTTCTCATTTCAATCCGTAGCTCTTTTATTACCAATAAGAATGTACATTTTAAATTATTTCTTTTTAAGTTCTTATTTTAATTTCTTTCCTTATGACACTTTGTTTGTATCCTTTGTGCTTTTTTCTATTAGAATATCCTTTTTAAAAACTGATATTAAAATAAATATTTAAAAATGAAAAAAGATGTGAAACAGCTCCAATAAATTTAAATATATAAAAAATATGTCTATTGTATGCTGCTTGCACGTTCCCACAGTTTGAATGTACATGGCCAATGATCTTTTATTTCCACGGAAAAAATTTTTCTAAAATGGACCTGACACAATCTACCACCTTTGCACTGTACACTGCATACTGCTCACTAGGGAGCTGCTTTTAAGTACTAGTCTCATGGGGTACTAAAGACCTGTCCAATGAGCTCATAATGCTATGCTTAAACAAGTACAACTGAAATACAAGAAAAAGTCAGAATTGCTTTTTCCTCCTCTATACTTTGATTCTTTCAATAACAAGCTTCTTAACAGGGTACTGGATTAAAAAATTTGTCTCTGGTCCTCCAAAAGATCTTCTGTGGTCAGAAGGCACAGGTAGCAGAAGAAAAAGAGCATGTACTCCACAGTAGACAAACCTGGGCTAGGATCCTGCTGTGCCATGCTCTTGCTATTTGACTTTGGTCAAGTCATTTTGCCTCTCTGGGCCTCAATTTCCTTATCTATAAGCATAAAACTATGTTTTAGGGTTATCATGAGAATTAAATGAAATAAGATAATGATAACATGCAATGTTTATACTCAGAACCCTGGTATGTGATTGGTATACTTCAAAAAAGTGATTTTCCTAATTTCATGGTGCTAAATCAGTTACTTATTTATTTCAAATGACCTTACATAAAGTGTTGCCTAGAAATACTCAACAAAGCATCATCTGGTGTAAAAACATTTAGGTCAGCTTTCTATCAACTACAGTTTCCACTGCTATAATTATGCAATCATCAACCACCACTAAAAACAACAAAAACCCCCAAAGCTGATGTTACTAAAATTGCTAAATATAGTAATTACTTGATTCTCAAGATCATGACCACCAATTACTTTAGGAAAGCAACAGAAATCTTTGCAATTGTCAGAGTGAGCAGAAGGCTGATTAGTTATCCCCAACACTGGTCTCTACAGCAGAAGGCTTTTGGTCGTTGCCTAAAATGGCAGCATATTCAGAAGTCTTTCTCAAATCGCTGCTTTCTCATACTTCATACTCTGAAAGAAACCATATCAAAAAAAAAAAAAAGAAAGGAAAAAAGAACTGAAAGAAAAAACAGACAAGGTATTTTCTTTTGAATTTGGCGTTCTTGGCACTGATTCTTGGTAAGAGGCTCTAGCAGAGTGAAATAATCTCCAGGAGCATAGCATACTCTATGAAATCTATAAATACAGCCCCTTTCTATGCAAAAAGTAATACATTCTCCCTATAAATGCAGATTCCTCAAGGAAAGGAAGCAAAGTGTCCTTTTCCAAGCACATATGTACAGAGAGCTATACAACATGCTTTAATTATACTATCTCTCAAACCAAGCTATGAGATAGACTTTAGCCTTCCTCAAACACATTAGGTAAACTGGCAGTGGTAGCACACACCTGAAATCCTGGAACTTGAGAGGTTAACACAGAGGAGCACAAGTTCTAGGCCAACCTAAGCTATATCGTGAGACCCTGTCTCAAAAAAAAAAAAAAAAAAAAGGTACTGTGGCAGGTGGCAGGTCTCAGTGATTAAGTAAAACCACCCAGCTCCAGGACCTACATCTGTCCAACTCTGAAAGTTTTTTCTTCTCAACACATCTTTATAAAATCTCAAAATGACTGTGTCAATTCTCCCATATGAGAAAGAATCTAAATCATGGTTCCAAAACAAAACAAACTCAACAAACCATAAGGATGACAATTTCTGTCAGTTAGCAGATTGCTTTTCTGCCTCCCAGGAGTTTTTAAAATGAACTGAAGGATTCACACAGGGTTATCCTTTTGAAATCTTAAATCTATAAAGGAAATGGTACCTGTTGACAACCACAGAGTACTGAAGCAGAAGAAAGTATAAAGCAGGTACAGGTTTCTTAACCACTTCTCAGATGTCTGCCAACAATATCCTGACAAAATCCAGGAAGCAGGACTTGGCTTGACTCCCAGCCTCTTCTCCATGGCCTTCCAGACAAGCAGAGTCAGTGCACTAGAAAGACAGAGAAGAAATTATATGCCAAGTAATTAATAATTGATTCCTGGAAATGTGGAATACTAGAGAATGTGACAGATTAGGAGGAACAGAAATTTCCAGTTTGTCTTTCAGTGCTCATTCCTGCCAATAAATTTTAAACCTGAGCTTTGATATAGCCTATAATTATCAGTGTAACAACATAGCAAGGGATTCAAATGAATTATTGTCTAATCTAACAGTAAATCATCAGGCTGTGGCAGAATGGAAAGAAAAGCTTTGACTTTTCAGTTCCTTTCTGCTAACAGTTTTGTGACTTTCACCAAACACACTTTCTTATATGTGAAAAGAAGTTGTACTTATTCTAACAAAACTAACCTGAGAGTATTGAAGGGCCCATTGTTCCTAAAATTTTTGATGTGATCTACCTAGGCAGGGCATGCACTCCCAGTTTGCTACTGTTCCTACCATTATTATCTCTAAAAATTGTCCAATTTACACTTCGATGTTATCCCCAATCCCTAAGAATCATTTGGAATTTCTGGCTTAAGTTCCAAATGAATTTATATTAGGCACTATGCTCTCTACTCTAGAATCTAGCAACTGTATGATTTAGTTCCCTTTTAAAAAATAAAAAAAACTATTTTTCCAGAAGTTTCTTCCCTCTTACCCAACTGTGCGACACTGTATAAATTACGCAGCTGAGCGACATTATGAGGGTCAACAGAGTTCTGAAGAAGCAATTTTTAAAAATCCTCTGTTGGCTGCACATGAGGGCTCACACCCACAGCTCCAGATACCCAGGAGAATGAAGTAAGACTGCTTAAGTCCAAGGGTTCAAGGCCAGCTGAGCAACACAATGAGATCTTATCTGGAGGAGGAGCAAGAGGAGAAGGAGGAGGAGCAAGAGGAGAAGGAGGAGGGAGAGGTCCTAAATATGTACCTTTATTGGGCAAATGATACAGACTGACAATCCTTAATCTTCACCCCACACCAGAATACAGCATTGCCTGGGTTAGATTTCAACATTAATGCCAGGAAATGTACACACACACACACACACACACACACACACACACACACTGCTAAATTGAGGTGAAGTTGACCTAAGAAAAGGCTTTCACTGAGCCATAAACACCTGAAGGACTTCATCTTTCTCATTCTCTTCCATTTCTTCATGTGAGGGAGCAGGAGGCAGAAAGGAGGTATATGGGCCAGGGGACATATTAAAGATATGATGAAATAGAGCCTAAATTAGAAAGTATACCCAGAACCTTCTTTAGCTTCCCAGGCTGAAATAGGTTAGTGTGTGTGTGTGTGTGTGTGTGTGTGCACAAAAATGTGTGTATGTGGATTTTACCTAACATATTCCTGCCTTAAGTTTTAAAAGGATTTAAAACTCAAGGTGACTCAACACCTGTCATCAATAGCCTGGCAGGTGGGTGGGAAAAGTAGAAAAGAAATGAATAGGCTCTGAAAACAGGAGAAATAAACACCATTGGCCTAGCAAGCTGATTAGAAGTGCAATGTCTTACAAACGGTGCATAAGAGAGGCAGAGCTAATTTCATTTGAACTCCCAACCACTCATTCTGCTGAAACCTACAATTGCCTACTGGCACAAATCACCACCAGGGTCCAGCTAAAGGCTTGCTGACCAGAGGCAGGAACAACAACACATCACCAAGATCCAAATGATTTGTTATTGAATCAAAGGGTAACAAACCCAGTGAGAGAACACACACCCCCACAAAACTTGACAAATGAAAATCTAGAAAAGCTCCCAATAGTTCTGGCATTTAGGGCGTTACAAGTACACCCAAAATAAAAGCACTTTCTGTTGCAGCAGCTGTTCAGACAGAGCAGGGGGTAATGTTTACTTAATACTTCAGGTTGATCGGGGATGTATCATAGTTCAGTCTGTCAGCTACATACGTGGAACTCCATTTATGTACACAGCGATAAGGTATGTTTGAATAACGACGGAGCACGTCTGAAACAGCCTATTCAGCGGGTGTGAGTAATCAAGAATAAAGCTTTAAAGAAAAAAAAAAGTCTCATATTTGGGAAAGTTGCAGAACAGACTGCCATGAATAGCTTTGCTTATATTTGCAGACACTGTTTTTCAAATAGCTGGAAAAAATGAACAGATTGTTCTGGGAGGTCGTCTTTCCAATTTGTTCCTAGTTTCAATTGTTAATCACAAGAAAGCACAAGGAGAGTCGTCAGCTAAAGCCCTCCACTAACAGCATCTATTGTCAGTTAAGCAAAACCACCATGAGCTGAGGAGAAGGCAAAGCATTCCTGGAACCCCGTCTGGGGGTGGGGGTAATTTTGACTTCCTTCACTTCACTGTAGTCACCGCAGGACCCTCTGTCGGGCATAATTTTCAAAACCATGAATGAGGCAGGTTTCGCATCACCGTAATTTACACATCTTGCCAACTCCGCCCCCCTTATTCTGCATCGCCTTCCTATCTCGGTAGGAGATCAACCAGCAGACAGCAGCTAAGGGCGAGGCTGCAGAGGTTGAAGGTGTAAGGAGGACAGCGCCTGGAACCCAGTCTGTCAGTCTGACTGTCAAGGAATAGAAAGAGCTGCATGACCAGGCCGCAAGCCCAAAAGAAGAGGGGTTCAGCCTGGGACGCGACCTCCGCACCTGAAGGCCAGAAGCAGCTGACTGCCCTGGCCGGGCCAGGAGCGCCACCTCCGGGTCCCAGCACCCGGCCCGGCCAGCGCACCCCCAGGCATCGCCCGTCCCGCCTGCCCCTCCCCTGGGCTCATGGTCCTCGGCCTGGCAGCCAGCTGCCCCGGCCACCTACCGGGGCTCAGGGCCACATAGCGGAGCCCCGGCTCTCGGTGGCCTCCGCCTCCTCCCGGTCCATGGGCTCGGAGTCCCAACCTTCTCTACCCTCAAGCCGAGGAGGAGGAAGGGGAAGAAGGTAGTGCGGGTTCCCCACCAGGACAGCTCCCTGTAGCTCAGCCTCCCTGGACAGCGACCGCGGCCGGAAACGCCGCCTCCTCCCACCTCCCGGGGCTCAACCCGGAAACACACTCTTCAGGCTAATCAACCTCTCCCCTCCACCCCCAGACGGAAGCGCAATTCCAGCCGCGAGCCCCAGGGGGAGGAGGGGCAGTGCTGAGGGTAGAACTACGCACAAGCGAAAGCGTCTGCGCCCCAGCCTCTAGCCTCCGGCCCTCCCAGGGCTTGCCTCCTTTGCAGGAACCCCAGGCCCCAGACTCCAGCAATACCCACAAGGAAGATGGCGGCAACGGCGACACCCCCCACGGCTAAGCGCCCTGCTGCGTCATTGGCCAGAGCCCGGAGTGAAACCACCGCCGATTGGTCGAGCGCGATGCGGGGGTGGGGGTGGAGCTGCAGTAGCCGGGAGCCCGGAGTGGGCAACTCGGCGTGAGCAGCTGCCCCAGGCTCCCACAGCATCGCGCCGGGAGAAGACTTCGCCGCTCGGGGCCGCAGCCTGGTGAGCTCAGCCCCCTTCAGGCCCTCCTCTGCATCCCAGCCGGGGCCTCTCCGTGCCGCCGCTGATCGATGCTGACTCTCCCCGGGGACCCTATCGCGACTCCATCGCGCCATATCGCGACACCATCGTGCCCTGTCGAGAATCCATTTTGTCACAGCCCTTTTCAATATATATATATTTTTTAATTTGCCCTGTCATCTTTGGGGGCTGTCCCCCTCCATGTCGTGATTTTGCTGTGATCTCTCCGTGACATCACCGCGCCATCGTGAAGTGTGATCTCATCGCTGCCCTGTCGTGACTTCATCAATGTCGTGTTGTGACCTGGCTTCGGCGGGACAGGTGGTGACCGCCAGGAACCCTCCTCCCCTTCTCATCTCCCCATCTCAGCAGCCCCGCTTCGATTATCCGGCTCTTGGATTCTCTGTTGTCCCGGGAGCTACCCCTCTTGCTTCTCCAAGCCCCTGCCCGCATCCACAGGCTGATAGCAGGACTCGGAGGACGAGGACAGGGAGCACAAGGGGTTAATTCTGCTGCTGCTGCTGCTGCTGCTGCTGCTGCTGCTGCTGTTGCTGCTGCTCCTGCAGCCTTTGCCTGAGGGAGGGAAAGGAGAGAAGGCAAGGAACCCTGGAGGGGAGGGGGCGACTGGGATCTGGAGGGGTGGGGTCCCCCGAGGGGCCTCCAAGCCTTCCCTGGTGAGCTCGTATTCTCACTTCTGCTGAAGCTTATCTCCTGCCTCTGAAGAAGGTAGGGGAAAGGAAGCCTAGGATGCCCTTTTTTCCCTTGTCAGCCTGAGTCCGGATAATCGAACTTCACCCATGTATGTCTCCGTTCCTCCCTGTCTGTCCGCACCACTCACTCCCTGTGTGCCTCGTGGAGAGAAATAAAACCTGGCCTCGAGTGCCAGGGGCTGCTGAGCAGTGTGGACAGCTCTCTTTAACCCCAGGAGATTGGTGAGGAGAGCTGTCCAGCTGAACATCAGGATGCATGGTCCTCCTTGCCCACTCTCTGGAGGTGACCTTGGACCAGGGTCCCTTCTTCAACCCAAAGGATTTGCAGGTCCAGCCTCTTAAGGGAGCTCCCCCAAGGGAGGTCAGTCCTGAGGAAGCCACCCTTCCAAATTCTTCCTCCCCTCCCTCTGTGCTAATCCCTCCCTCCATCCTCCACTGCCACCCCCGCCCCCGCCCCCGTCCCTCCTCTGCAGAGGGATGCTCAGTCCCTCTTGTGTTCACAGTTGGGCAAGGCGGGCATCATGGCCTCGGATTGCGAGCCAGCTCTGAACCAGGCAGAGGGCCGAAACCCTACCTTGGAGCGCTACCTGGGAGCCCTCCGTGAAGCCAAGAATGACAGCGAGCAGTTTGCAGCCCTGCTGCTAGTAAGGAACTGGCTAATATTTGGGAGGTGGGAGGGCTGGGTGGTCAGGCACCCAAAGAATGGGGTCAACAAAGTCCCAAGGATATATAAGTAATGCTGGCAACCCTGGAGGCACCAAAGAAAACCCAAGACCTCTACCTTTGTTTGTTTTTTTGTTTTTGTTTTTTGTTTTGCCTCCCTGAGAACAGAGGCAAAGGAGAGAATGGGGGTGAATAAGGCAGTTGCACTGGGGCCTTGGAGGAGGCTGCCTGGGTTTGCTTTCTGGGGCGTCCCAGAGCAGATGGAAGCTGACTCACAGGGTAACAGCAGCAGGTAGTAACTAGTGCAGAGTACTTGAGGGCTGGGGATGATTTTTCTGGGACCCAAGAGAATAGCAGGATTGGAACTGACTGAGGAAGGGTCTTAGAGGACGGCCAAGGTGGCAGTAAGTAGGTTGAAGGTAAGGGAGCTTGTTTAAGTCTTAGCCCTGTTAGAGGAACCCAGGCTGGGGACAGCAGAGCCGAAGCTGCAGTGCTAGGAGGGGGGGGTTGATGTGTGGGGGATGAAGGGAGGAGGGAGTACAGCCGCTGCTTGTTTGCCATGGCAACAGGGAGAAGGCTCTGGAGTCAAGGGCTCACACTGCAGCAGAGGAGGTGTTTAGGTGAAATGTAAGGGGAAATGTTTTGACATGCAGAGCAGCGAGACAGGAGCCATTTCCCCTGAGAAGGTGGCGGAAATGGATCAGAGACTTCTCTGGAGACAGCAGCCAGAGAAGGACCCAAAATCCCTGGGGGATTTTAAATACCTGGAGTTCTGAGCCCCTTCCAGTTCAGGTTATGGGCATCTAAATTAGACATCAGGAAGAACTTCTCAACTGGCCAGGTAACCAACAACTCATGTGAGGTGTTGAGGAGGACTGGTCCTCTCTTCCATGGGATAATCATAGATGAGAGGGATCTCAGAGGTCACACTTGTCTGTCTCCAAGGAGAAAGGAGCTGGCTGAAATGACCAGAGTGAGTCCTGTTGCATAATCCAGTCCTGCTAGTCCTCAATGCCCAGGGTGCAGGGAAGGGATAGTCCTTGCCACCTCTTCCTTTCATCTTGCTGATAGCACATACCCCCTATAGGTGACCAAGGCAGTCAAAGCAGGTGACATTGATGCCAAAACGCGGCGGCGGATCTTTGATGCAGTTGGCTTCACCTTCCCCAATCGTCTCCTGACCTCGAAGGAGGCACCTGATGGCTGCCCTGACCACGTTCTCCGAGCCCTGGGCGTGGCCCTGCTGGCCTGTTTCTGCAGTGACCCTGAACTGGCCGCTCATCCCCAGGTCCTGAACAAGATCCCCATCCTTAGCACCTTTCTTACAGCCCGGGGAGACCCCGATGATGCTGCCCGCCGCTCCATGATTGATGACACCTACCAGTGCCTGACAGCTGTAGCAGGCACACCTCGAGGGCCCCGGCATCTCATTGCTGGTGGCACAGTGTCTGCCCTATGCCAGGCATACCTGGGGCATGGCTATGGCTTTGACCAGGCCCTGGCACTCCTGGTGGGGTTACTGGCTGCTGCGGAGACACAATGCTGGAAGGAGGCTGAGCCCGACCTGCTGGCAGTATTGCGGGGCCTCAGTGAGGATTTCCAGAAAGCCGAAGATGCCAGCAAGTTTGAGCTCTGCCAGCTGCTGCCCCTTTTTCTGCCCCCGACAACCGTGCCCTCTGAATGCCTCCGAGATCTGCAGGCCGGGCTGGCACGCATCCTGGGAAGCAAGCTGAGCTCCTGGCAGCGCAACCCTGCACTGAAGCTGGCAGCCCGCCTGGCGCACGCCTGCGGCTCCGACTGGATCCCTGTGGGCAGCTCTGGGAGCAAGTTCCTGGCCCTGCTGGTGAATCTGGCATGCGTGGAGGTCCGGCTGGCCCTGGAGGAGACAGGCACAGAGGTGAAAGAGGATGTGGTGACTGCCTGCTACGCCCTCATGGAGTTGGGGATCCAGGAATGTACCCGCTGTGAGCAGTCCTTGCTTAAGGAGCCACAGAAGGTACAGCTCGTGAGCATCATGAAGGAGGCCATCGGCGCTGTCATCCATTACCTGCAGCAAGTAAGTATACAGGGGGAGCTCCGTGGGTGGGGAGGCAGTGCAGGAGCCTGAAGGCAAGGTGGTGTAGCTGCATGAACATGCAGGCTGGTACCACAGCAAGCACTCTGGGAGTAGTGTGTGACCAAGCCTCTCTCCCTCTCCCTCCCCCCATGGCCCTCCACACAAGCACCATACCACACACCATATGTGCACTTCCATCACAGCGCGCGCGCGCGCACACACACACACACACACACACACACACACACACATTTAACCTCCCACTCACACAATGCTCCCCAGTACACACACTACACACCACACAAAAAATTGGAGCAGTCTGTTCTGCTAACTCTGTTGCATTGTTTTACATACACACACGTAGAAACTTGTAGGGTACAGGAAAAAAGAACAGGACTTCGTGGTTCCTGACCTCTGTAGAGGTTCACCTAACTATTTGCCTTCCCTAACCCCCTCCCAGTCTAAGAGGCCCACTCTCCTGTCTCACAGGGACTCAGGCATGACTCTGATCTCTTTAATGGTCTGCTCCAGCCACTGAACTCACCAAACATTTACCTAGCAAGCCATGCTAAGCTCTGGTCTCATTTTCTGTTTTAGCCCAAAAGAGGACATTACCCCCTCCCACTGTTCGGGGATATTTACGTGGTAGGCTGTCTTCCTAGCCCCGACCAGAGCCTCTGGAGGAATGCTACTTAGTGTAGACCTGTGAGTTTCCTTCCAGCCTCCACTTACTTTAGAGGTACAGAGATAGGAGAATATGACTTGAGTCTTGGTGAGTGCAGGTCATGTTGTCTGAGATCCACTTCACTCAGCAGATACACCGAGGGCCTGCTGTGTGCTAGGCTGCAGTTGCATGTGTCTCTCCCATGTGCTAGGTGCTGAGTAGAATAAGGCTTGGTGCCCACCTTTGAAAGGCTCACAGGCCAGTCATGTTATTTTTAGGCTGTCTGGCAGGCTGGGGAGGCAGAGGAGGGTCTGTGGTCCTGCTTCATCTCAGTAGGGTCCTGTGGCAACAGGTGGGGCCAGAGAAGCAGAAGGAGCCCTTTGTGTTTGCCTCCGTGCGGATCCTGGGTGCCTGGCTGGCGGAGGAAACCTCATCCCTGCGTAAGGAGGTGTGCCAGCTGCTGCCGTTCCTTGTCCGTTATGCCAAGACTCTCTATGAGGAGGCTGAAGAGGCCAATGACCTTTCGCAGCAGGTGGCCACCTTGGCCATCTCCCCTACCACCCCAGGGCCCACCTGGCCAGGGGACGCTCTCCGGTAAGTTTATAGTTAAAGTCTATCCAGCCAGACCATTTTAAAGGGTCATACAGGGACACCCTGTCTCCCACAGACTGAACTGTGATCAGTTCCCTAATTGAGCCATAAGAATTCCCTTAGGATTATTTCTGCTTGTTTGGGGGGCCTTGTTCCCACAGGACTCCTGCACTGTCACATGTCATTTGCTATCCCCAGATTTCTCAATAAAAAAAAGAACCTCCTGTTTATCGAGCATCTGCTACAAGCCGACCCTTTTGCTACACCCTTTACCACAATGATGTCTTTTGATCCACACAGAAAATCTGATAGAAGTCTCATCACATTTTAAAGATGAGGAAATAAGTCACACTCTGCGGCAGAGCACTGGGCCTCTGCTGGGCCTGTGTGACTCTGAAACTTGTGCTTTTTTGGCAATACCTATGAGGGTGTTTCTTTTCCCCCTATTTCCACTTCTCAGACAGGGTACCCTGACAAAAGACACCTTTGTACCTTCATCTCTCCTAACCCTACTCATGTCCGTCCTTGCCATACCACCAGGCTCCTTCTGCCCGGTTGGTGCCACCTGACTGTCGAAGATGGACCCCGGGAGATCCTGATCAAGGAGGGGGCCCCTTCTCTTCTGTGCAAGTACTTCCTGCAACAGTGGGAGCTCACATCCCCTGGCCATGACACCTCAGTGCTGCCTGACAGCGTGGAAATCGGCCTGCAGACCTGCTGCCACATCTTCCTCAACCTCGTGGTCACAGCACCAGGGCTGATCAAGTGAGGGGCTTGGGAGAGGCTGGGATGAGATCCAAGGAAGCAGTGGAACTGCCCAATTACCTCAAATTCTTAATCTCCTACTTTGGTTCTCTGTATCTGGGTTCCTTTTAGTGTTAGAATGGAACAGTTTCAGGATAGACAAAGACAAAGCCTGGCATGGTGGTACATTCCTATAATCCCAGCTACTTGGGAGGCAGAGGCAAGAAGGATCACAAGTTCAAAGCTAGCCTAGGCAAGGTTATTGAGACCCTATCTCAAAAAAATTTTTTTTTAAATATATAAACAAAAATGGTTGGGGATGTGCTGTAGTTAGTAGAGTGCTTGCCTAGCATGTGCAAGGCCTAGAGAGATCAATTACCAGTACCAAAAAAAAAAAAATACAAGCCAATCCCATCCAAGGACTTGGCATCTAGAAACCCAGGGATGATTATCCCAGTGTCTCTCTGCTCCAGCCATAACCCCAGCATCTGCTACGTGGAATTTAACCGAACTCACATGCCCTTGTTGAGGCTCACTGTTAACTCTTTACCCTGATGCCTGATTTCCTGCCTTACCCTGGCCTAGTGAAGCCAAAAGTCCCAGATCCCAGGCTTTCCTGAGAGTGCCATACGATCTACTAACTCTCTCCCCGCCCCTGTCCTCCCCTTCTCTCCCCACAGGCGTGATGCCTGCTTCACATCTCTTATGAACACCCTGATGACATCACTACCCGCACTAGTGCAGCAACAAGGGAGGCTGCTCCTGGCAGCCAATGTGGCTACCCTGGGCCTCCTTATGGCCCGGCTCCTTAGCACCTCTCCAGGTAAGCCATGGGGACCAAGGCCTGATGGGTAAGGGCAGAAGACCTGGGTGAACCTGCTGAATTCAGAGTATAAGTACCCATTCCCAAAAAATGGTTTTGCAGAATTTTCCCATCAAGAGGAAATCTCTACAGTATATCTCCATCTGCCACCCCCACCCTTCTTCCTAAAATGATAACATTCTTTTCCTTCTGAAGACTTTTAAGGCAAGGTCTGGTGGGTGTTAAGTACAGGCCTGCTCACAGGCACAGGTACCTGGAATCCCTGACAGCCCAAGGACTCTGAATCCAGTGTTTTCAAGGTGGATCCACTCCCACCCAGGCCTTGAGTCAGAAACCTAACTTCCTTCCATTGAGGTTTTTCACCCACCTCAGTGTCAGGCATCAGCATTGTCCCTCTGTGTACAACTTCTCCTTCACTCTGGCTCTGTGCAGGGGGAAGGGTGTCCCCTCCAGCCCCTGGCAGCCCTCAATGTCTCCCACTTTGGCTGTGGGTGTCTGCTTGTGTCCCACTGTCCCCACCTGTTCCCTATGCCCCATCTGTCAGATTGGAGGAGCTGAGCAGATGTCTGGGAACAGGGTGTAATGTGCCCATACCCTCAGCTGCTTCTGTGCTTTTTGTGTGGTGATCCCAGGAGGGTACCCAGCAGTGGAAAGGGGAGCATGTCTCTGGACCAGGAGTCCCCCGCACTCTCAGTCAGCACTCCGACAGAGCCACTCTGTCATGACCCCGGTGCTGGCCCATCCACAAATACCACCATATTTGGTGAATAAAATCCTGGAGAACATCTGCAGGAAGAGGGCTCCTGAACGCCTCTGAGGCAGGTACCCCAAAGCTGCTCACTGTTCACATTCCTCTCTGGCACTCTTCTGGCCCAAAAATCAAACTAGTGCATTTTGGCTGCCAACTGCTGGAGTCCCTGCTGAGAGAAACCTGAGGAAGGTCTCTCTAGCATCTGACAAGAGGCTTATTTCCATCTTCTGTACTACAGAGATCTTGGTGATGAAGTGTACATTTAATTCTCCCAACAAATTGCTAAGATTAGAACTACTAGCCCCATGTTACACTGAAGAAACTGAGCCCCAGAAAAGGGAACTACCTAAGGTCACACAGTAAGCGTCAAAGGTAGGGTTTAAGCCCAGTCTGATTCCAGGTATTGCTTGGGGTCTCTGAGAGTGTCCACATAGGTGGGAAAGTGAGGGGCTGGCCCATCTATTTCATGCTGCCACTCTCTCCTTGCCTTCCAGCTCTTCAGGGAACCCCAGCATCCAGAGGTTTCTTTGCAGCCGCCATCCTCTTCCTATCTCAGTCCCACGTGGCACGGGCCACACCTGGCTCTGACCAGGCAGTACTGGCCCTGTCTCCTGACTACGAGGGAATCTGGGCTGACCTGCAGGAGCTCTGGTTCCTGGGTATGCAGGCCTTCACCGGCTGTGTGCCGCTGCTGCCTTGGCTGGCCCCTGCTGCCCTTCGGTCCCGCTGGCCACAGGAGCTGCTCCAGCTGCTAGGCAGTGTGAGCCCTAACTCCGTCAAGCCCGAGATGGTGGCTGCCTATCAGGGCGTTCTGGTGGAGTTGGCACGGGCCAACCGGCTGTGCCGAGAGGCCATGAGGCTGCAGGCGGGTGAGGAAACAGCCAGCCACTACCGCATGGCTGCCTTGGAGCAGTGCCTGTCAGAGCCCTGAGGGGCGTCCACTGGGGACAGACCCGGGGGTGGGCAGCGAGGGAAGGAAGGGGGGAGGCATCTTCCCTGAAGCCCCCAAACTGGACCTCTCTCCCCAGACTTTCCCCCCTGCAAACACCCAGCTTTCTGGCTTTTCTGAGGGCAAGGGCATGGTGCCCACCCCTCAGGTGTAAGGAACTGCGCCCATCCCTCAGACCTTCATGGGGTGGGGATTGACTTGGAAATCACATGGTTGTCCCCGCCAGGCCGGGGAAGGTTGGAGCAGCCCCCAGGGAAGGGGCACTAGGTGTCATTATACCCAGTGTCTGGCTCCCCCACAGGAGGGAGGCCCCAGGGTAGGACAGGGCTGGCAGGAGCTGACTGCCTCAGCCCATGTGCCCTGCCGGCCAGGGCGTGGCCTCCCCTAGACTGTGGTGCCCCTTCCGGCTCCCCAGGTCCACGCCCTTTAAATTGACCATTTGGCTCTTGTCCTTGGCACCCTTGGGCAGAGAGCAGGCTTAGGCCATTGACATCTAAGTTCTTCCTTTCAACTTCAGTGATCCAGGTTCTGAACTGCCCCTATCCTTCCAGGCAAATGGAGGCAGTCAGGCCATTGGGGCTGGGAAACCTCCTTCCACCTGAGCTTCCTTGAGGGGACCCAAGAGTCCTTGGGCCCGGGTCTCTTAAGCTTTTGTGTCATGTTGCATCAGAGTGACGATGAGGGTTGGGGAGTTATTTATTTTGCTTGTCCTGATCCCTGCTTAGACACCTGAGCATCTGATCCCTGTCCCCCTGGCTAGAGCCAGGAGCAGGAGGAACATCTCCCCAGAATCTGCATGTTTCCCCAGTGATTGCACTCCATTGCCACCGTGGTGCCTGGCTTCTGCTCCCACCCCTTCTATGACTCCTCTCTGCAAAGAGACGCGACTGGCGGCTCCAGCAGGGACTTCCCTTCTTATAAACCTCGGGGGGGGAACCCCACCTGATCCCTTGCTTCTCCAACCCGCCCCCCCAGTGCGTTCTGTGATCGCCAAGTTCAAACCTGTGCACATGTGGACACTCAATAAATGTTCATTGGTGACAAGAAGCCTCCTGTGTGATCCACCCTGCATCTGCTCTCCCTTTCAGCCTCCATCAGCTCATAACTACTACTTGCTAAATACGTGTTCTCTAAACTCATTTCACAAGTGTTCAGCCTCCCAAGAGCCCTGGAAAGAAGGGACCATAATTCCAGTTTTACAGATGGAGAAGCTTAGGCTTGGATAAGTGATTTACTCACTGTATTGCCATTAGAGCCAGGCCTCCACACAGGCCCTCAAGTCTCCACCCACACCTTTCACTGGCCAGATGATGTGGCCAGGCCTGCTGGGGACTCTCGGGGACAAATGAAGTGCTGTGTTGTCCCTTTCAGAAGGTTGTTTCTGAGAGTCACTACCACGGCCTCCAATATTTTAAAAAGTAAATCCTAATTTTTATGTGAAATCCAACTTTTGAATGTTGGTAACTAATATTTTCAACTAAATCATTACTGGCCTAACAAAAATGAACAGGCCAAATGCAGCTTTCAGGCTACCAACTGTTGACCTGTGAGAAGGGGAAAGGTCTGAGAGCTTCAGCAGAAGATGGACCAAACACCCTCTACCTTGCCAGGACCAAACTGGAGTTGTTGGGTTGGAGCCAGACACCATACCATCTTCAGATCCCCTACCTAGGCCATCAAACCTACAAGCATTTGCAGAGCACATCCTATTGCCTACCTGGTATGCCTACTGGCTCTGCATAACAGGAATATCCATTTACTTACCTGGAAGTCAGCATATGAAAAGACAGACCCTGCACCCAAGCACCATGAAGGTGTAAGCAATGGCTTCTATGGAGTTCTAACCAAATGGAGCATGATGCTTGTTCAAGTCCAGGAAACCTCAAAGCATGTATTTGCTCTGAGACTTGAGGGATAGAAGGGGCTTGCTAAGTAGACAAGCAGAGGGATGGCAGGTACAAAGGCATGCAAGCAGTTTCCCCCGTTGCCACCGTGAAGCAGGGAAAATGAAGTTGACCAGACCACACAGAGTCCTAGTGTGTACTGCTCAGAAGCAGAGATGTGGAGTCATGCTGAGGGACCAGACTGCAGATTTTTGAGCAGATTAAATAGAATAATTTACATTTTACTTATTTATTGTTGGTACTGGGGTTTAAAGTCAGCCTTATGCTTGCTAAGCAGGCATTCTACTACTTGAGCCACTTCACCAGCTCTGGTTTGCATTTTAGACAAGATGATTGGCTGCAAGAGGGATGGCTGAAGCCAAGAATGGTGGTACAAGCCTGTGATTCCAGCCCTTAGAAGGCTGAGGCAGAAGAACAGCAAATTTAGGGTCGTCCTGGACTACACAGGGAGACCTTGTGAAAGGAAGGAAGAGAAGGAAGGGAGGGAGGGAGAGAGGGAAGGAGGGAGGAAGGGAGGCTCTAAAGGACGACTCCAGATTCCTCATCAGTGCCTCTGTGTAGATAATAGGACTGTTCACTGTGGTAGGAAACACTAAGAGAAACTGGCTTGTGGAAGGTATAAACTCAGTTTGGCAAATCGTAAATTCGTTCTACATGTGGAACATCCAAGGGGTAGTTGCTTTCCTGCATGCAATGGGAGAACCAAACTCAGCAAAGCTTAGTAACACCATACAGACTGAGTTCTATGCTTTCATGAAGTATGGTCAGAGAGCTCTGGGCTCCAGAGTAGGGAAAAGACTAGGCTTAACTTGCAATACTAAGCTTGATCATGGAGATTTTGCTGAGGGAAAATGGGAAGATGTGAGCTGCAGTTGTGAGCTCTAACCACAAGGTGGAGCCTCGTCATCTCCTAGTGCCAGATTTCACCTCGGAACACTTCAAACATGCCCAGCCAGGCCACAGCAGGAGTTGTGAAGGCTGGGGAAGGAGGATGTCTGTATCAATAATAACTGAAGCAGGCCTGAGTTTTTCTTAACAAAGTGAAAAGGCAGGATCACATTTTGAAAAGGGGAAAAAGGTGAGCTTGGAAAAACCACAATATGCCAAATGGAAGTCCACATATGTCTGAACGTGCACACCTGTGTCAATATGCATCCCATGTTTCCATGTGTACATGTGTTTCCCATGAATTCTCTGTGCATGTTGTGTGCCCCATCTTCCCAGGAGTGTCTGCATGAGTATCCCTGTGCACATCCTAAGTCTCAATGAGTGCACATGTCCCAAAGAAGGGGTAACCAGAAACCCCCAACTGCATGCCTCAGGAAGTGAGGAGTCCTTTGTCCCCAAGTAGAAGATCCCCAAAGTCTGGAACCATGGTACGCCCAAACACCAACAGACCGTGTAGAACATGCCTCTCCCATCAAACATAAGTAAAGTCACTCATTTATCAGATAATCTCAGATTATACCTGGGAGCTAGTCTAGCTACCCAGGGTCATGTTCACATAGAACTTGCTGAAGGATCCCTTAATAGGCAAAGGAATTCATAAAGTTATCCAATGACTCACTTAACATTATCTATTTATTTATTTTGCGGTACTGGGGCTTGAACTCAAGTTCTACCAGCCCTTTTTTGTAATGGGTTTTTTCGAGATAGGGTCTCTCAAACTGTTTGCCCAGGCTGGCTTGGAACTGTGATCCTCCTTATGTCTGCCTCCTGAGTAGCTAGGATTACAGGCATGAGCCACCGGGCTGCCCAGCTTATCATTCATTTAATAGGTATTCATTGACCACCTGTCGTGCATCAAGCACGGTGCTAGACACATTTTCTGTTTCTTCTTTCTTGGTGAATTCTTTGTAATTCTGAAGTAGGAAGTGGAAGCTAATCACAGTGCAAAGAACCTGGAATGCTAGTTAGTTTAGAGTTTTTCCCTGACATGGGCCATGAGGAGTCCCAGGAGAGTTTTCAGCAGGGAAGGAACATAGTCCAGTCACTCCTCTTACTGAATAGAGTTGGAATTGGATAGGAAGAGATATGAATTCAGGTTGTTGCAACAGCCTACACAGTGACTCCCAAACTGTAGTGAGCTCTGAGTCACCTTAAGGACTTATTAAAACATAGATTGCTTGGCTCCACCTCAGAGTTGCTGATTCAGTAGGTCTGGCATGGGGTCCAAGAACTGGCACTTTCAACAAGTTCCTAAATGTTGGTGATGCTAGTTGAGGGACCACATTTTGATAGCTACAGGTCTATGGAGAAAGACTAAGGTAGCTTAAGGCACTGAGAAAAAAACCATGTGCTTTCTAGGATACCTGCCTCAAGTCTCCTCTATGTACATCCCATGAGTGGATGTTTAAAGGTTAAAAATGGCAACACTCAGGCTGGGTGTGGTGGTGCACACCTGTAATCCCAGCACTTGGGAGGCTGAGGCAAGAGAATTATAAATTCAAGGTCAGTCTGGGCTACACAGAGAGAATATGTCTCAAAAAACCAAAAGACAAAATAAAACAAATGGCAGCACTGTGAGGATTGGCTTGTGGTGGTAAGTGAAAGGTCCCAGACTCTTCCAGGATGCCTGACTGACAAGTTTTGAACTTGACGGATGATAGTGTCATTTATGGGACTATAGGACCAGGAGGAGGAGCAGGTGTGGGTGGAGGAGATGGTAAGTCCAGATTTGACTTGGAAGCTCAGATGACTGCAAGGAGATGTCTGAAGGAAACATTCAGTGGCTCTGTGTGTGTGTGTGTGTGTGTGTGTGTGTGTGTATTTCTGAATCTGTAGTGAGATCTACAGACTGGAGATGATTAGACTTGAGAGAAGATGAACTCACTCATGAAGAATGTAGATAGGAAGAAAAGACAGAAACTGCTCCTCTAAGAATGAATAACTCACAGTAAGGATGAGGAGGGACTCAAAGGAGATAGAAATGAAGGCAAAAGTGGTCAGAGTAGGAGGAAAATGAGGCAAGAAAGGAGTATCTGTAGCTGCAGTGATACTTACCAAGGAAGCCACCAGACAGGCAGTGCATTCCCATCTGTCACTCTGGCTTCCCAAGCATGGTGGAGTGAGCAGAGGGATCCCCCTTGCTGCTTCTGGACTACTCCGAAAGGGTCTACCAACTTGTGTACACTGGCATCGAGCCTGGGGCTTGATTTCTGATGTCCTGTGGCTGAAGGTAAAGGTAGGAGGAAGCAGGGTGTCACATATCCATTTGTATAAATACAAACTCACTCCAAACCTCAGATCTGTCCTGAGCAGGCAAGTTACAGAGCTGTCCAATTATGCTTCATCCACCACCCTAGCTGGTGGTTCCAGCCTTGGAAAGCCCTTAGTGATGAATCCTTGACTCTTACCCTCCTTTTTATCCTACAGTCCTCCAGGATGACATGACCCAGGCCTGAGTTCTGGACCAGCCATGTGCCTTCTGGGATAACCATATAGAATCATGTTCTGTGGGTTAATGGTGTCACCTTCATGTCCCCTTTTCTTCTAGTCTTTCTCAATATTGTTACCTTTTCCTTCTCTTTTACTACTTCACTAAAAAAGAGATCTGAGAAAACAACTAGTGTTCTCTATTCCCCACTTCTTATTCATTGCTGTTGAAGTTGCAGAAACTGAAACCAGAGGGGGAAGGGGACCTGCCCAGAGTCACACTGTCACTCAGAGACAGGACTAAATTGTAGACCCTTGAATCCAAGGCAGTATAGAAGTAGTGACCATGAGCACAGAGAAGGGCTGGAGGGGGACTGCCAGCACTGCCTCATAACTAGCTGCTTGAATTTGAGCGAGTCATTCCAACTCTCTGTGCCTGATTCCTCATCTGAAAATGGGGGTTTTAAGGGCATCTATCCCAAAGAGCCATGAAGAGGGTGAGATAATTTAATATTCATAAACTACTTAGTAGAGAGGCCAGTGCATTCTGTAAAAAGTATTTGCTGTGATAATTTGTACGCCACCCTGTTCTGTACATTTTTTTTCTTTTTCAAATATCTTCCTTCTGCTTTCTTAAATTTCCGTTCTTCACAACATTCTTCTCATTTGTCTTTTTTTAACCCCCATCTCAGCTTCTCAGGAGGAGGAGGGTTCAGTTTTGGGAGAAAGGAAGAGGGATTGATTGTAGAGATTGGAAAATGCTTGCCAGTTAGCCAGTGCCTGCCATGGTAACATACAAACAGTCTGCACATGTTCACTTAACAGTTGCACCCCATCCATGTGAGTCAGTTACACACAGACTTATTCAACAGTTTCTGAGTGTCACAGGCATACACTCAATAATCCCAGGCCCCTGTGGCTTTAGAAATATCTTGTCCGCTTTTTAGGTGGATTGAGCTCATGCCACACCCCCCTGCCAGGCAACTCTCTTGACTAATTTATGTCTCCAACTTCCTCAAACCCTAGCTTGGCATTACCTGCCCTGGAGTTCTAAGTAAAGGGGGAACCTTCAGCGGGTTTTTGATCCAGAACCATTCAGGAGACTAAACATGCAGGCCAACTCAAGTACACGTGAACTGATGGGCTTGGGTTTGCAATTCACAAACTTCTTCCACGTTCACGATTGCCCACCTCATCCAAGCAGGGTGAGGTGGTTGGAGAAAGGACTGATACCCATTTTGCAGATGAGAAAGCTGATGCCAGAGAAAGAGGAATACTTTGTTCAAAGGACAGGATGTGATAGCGTCTAGCAAACGTAGGACCCCTGTGTCCCAGCCTCCAATCCTCTGTTTCACCGCAACTGCAAGCCTCGAGCCCAAAAAGTGGCTCCTATCCTCAGAGGTTGAATTCGCGCCCCTCGGGACAACCCACCCAGTCTCACGCCTCCTTTTCCGTGCATCCGCGGGGGAAAAGCGAGAGTACGACTACAGCTTGTCTCTTTAATGCGCGCCCCCGGAGGCCCGGCGCGCCCCCGCCACTATAACTGGAGTGTATGGAGCAGGCTGAGCTCAGAGGGAGAAGGGCGGGCGCTGGGCACCCGTTGACCGACTTTTCCAAGTGGGATCCAAGTGCCTCCATGGACCGGCCCAGGGGCTCCCACTGCTGAGAACCTCACGCTCTCCGGGTTCAGGGCTGGACTACACCCAGCTGCCGCACCTCGACCTCTGCGGGCTGTACGGGCTCCCCGCGCCTGTTCCCGCAGCAGCGCTTGCCGTCGGGCGAGAGCTCCGCCACCGCCACCGCCACCGCCACGCATCACGCCCGCACCACCCGCCCCATGCTGGTGCACACTTACTCCGCCATGGTGAGTAGCTTCAGGTCCTGCAGCACCGGGACACACTTGGGGGGGCAGCGAGGGGACCAGAAGCCACAGTGCAGGACCCTCCAAACCTTCTGCTTCCGCGCCAACGAAATCTCAGAGGGAGGGCACCACGGGGACTCTGCCAGTTGAGAACGCGGTGGGCAAGGGACTGCTGTCCCCAGCCTGGGACTCCTGCGCTTACAGGTCTCTCGGTGATAGACATTGGGCCCCATACAGCGAGACGGACGGCAGCTGGACCCTCGCGAGCTAAGAAGGGTCCTTTTAGCTGCCAGGGGTCGCCTAACGCGCCCCTCTCCTTCCCCAGGAGCGCCCCGACGGGCTGGGCGCAGCGGCTGGCGGGGCGCGGCTCTCTTCTCTGCCCCAGGCGGCCTACGGGCCGGCGCCACCGCTCTGCCACACGCCGGCCGCAGCTGCTGCCGCGGACTTTCAGCCGCCCTACTTCCCGCCGCCCTACCCGCAGCCGCCACTGCCCTACGGCCAGGCGCCCGACGCCACCGCCGCTTTTCCCCACCTGGCCGGGGACCCATACGGCGGCCTGGCGCCCCTGGCGCAGCCACAGCCTCCTCAGGCCTCCTGGGCCGCGCCCCGCGCAGCCGCCCGCGCCCACGACGAGCCGCCCGGATTGCTGGCGCCGCCCGCCCGCGCTCTGGGCCTCGACCCGCGCCGTGACTACTCTGCCGCTGTGCCCCGGCTCCTGCACAGCCTGGCCGACGGCGCGCACGGCCTGGCCGACGGGCCCCTTGGCCTTACCGGGCTGGCGGCGCCACCCGGCCTGGAGGATCTGCAGGTGAGACTGGAGGGGTCCGGGATGGGTAGGGACTGGCCAATATAATTTAGCACCCGGGGTGGAGGTGGGGGGAAAAAAGTGCAGGAACCTGACTTTTCTCCCGGCCTGCTGCTTCCCACTCGTGACTGCGAGGATGCGTCGCACGACCTGGGTTAGATGCTGGCTGCCTGGCCATTGAGGCGGCCTGAACTGAGTCGGTGCGCGGAGCCTGGATGGCAGCAGGGACTAATCTCGCTCGCTCCCAGCTTTGCGGTTGAGCCGCGTTGGGCATCCATGCCCAGACCCAGTCCGCTGGGGCAGGCTGCGCCTGGGGCATAGGGAGGCGCAGTAGTTGCCTAAGGCTAGGTGAGTATGCAGGAATGGAGATGGTACCAAGCCACCTTGATCCCGGTCCCACCTGGGGCAGCGACGGCGTGCACGCAGGGCGGAGCAGACAGGGACCAGGGGCTGCAGGGGCTTGGGAAACGACAGAGGACTAGCTAATAGCTAACTACGAGCTCTCACCGCCGTCCTCCCCTATTTGCAGGGCATGGATGAGCCGGGAATGAGCCTCCTGGACCAGTCCGTGATCAAGAAAGGTAAGGAATGGCGTGGAACTGCCAGGGCAGAGCCAGGCGAGATGGTGCAGGCCCTGGCACACAGATCCATTTTCGTCACCGCTACGGCGTGCCTAATGTGCGTCGCCAGGATCGGTGGCCACCGAATATTCTTTCCGGCTCAGTAGAGGGTTAGCGGAGTCTGTGGGCCAGCCAGATGTTGGGCAGTGGCGGGAGCTCAGTGACTTTGTTCCATAGCCTGCCTCCTGCCGCGGACCCGCCGCGGACCCGAGCCCGGCCGCGCTCCCTAGGCAGCGCCGGCCTGGCCTCTGCTCGCCAAGGGGAGGGCGTTCCTGTGGGTCTGGAGTTAATTAGCAGAACGAGTTAAACCACTTCCCTGTTTCCTAAGAAGTGGGATGGCAGTGCTATTCCCACAGATTTTGTTAAATGATTTCCACTTTACCTAGCTTTAGCATTTGGGACCCTGGCCAGTGCTTTCTGCTCCTTCTTTCCCAGCAGGACTTTGGAGATCTTGCGTACCTCATCCCTTCCAGGGGAGCCTCCTGCAGCATTTAGGATTAGAAGAGCTGGTGTGTAAATATTGTGTGTTAGGCTGGGTCAGGGACTGCCTGCTCCCCGGTGTCTGTGTCTCTGAGTTCAGGGTTCTGTCGGTGTCTATACGTTCTTTTCCTAGGTGTCAGTATGTCTTGCTGTGTCCTCGTTGCTGTGAGTGTATTTGTGATTCACAACTGTGTATGTGGGAATACATTCTCTGGGTTTGGGGTTATTTGTCACCTGATAGGGTCTCTGTTGTATCCTGGAATTTGTTCTTTGATATATGAGGGGTTTTAGGCCTGTGAGGGTCCCTCCCTGTGTGTTTTCAGAGACATATGTGTGCCTTTTGGTATTAGTAAAACACAGGCGTGAAACCCGCCTTTGAGTGATTTTCAGGTTGAGAACCAAGCTTGGGCCATGCCTGGGAAAGGTGAGAGACCTGAGGCCTTGGGCAAGCACTTTAGATTTGGGGCAGGGTGCCCAAAGGAATTTGGAGGCACACAGGAGCCCATGGTGCCTGGGGGCAGATGCATCTCCTGCAGGATTTGGCTGGAGTTATTTTTCAAACAAGTGAATTCAAGCCAAGGCTCTGTTTGCCCTCCATGGGTTCCCAGGGGAGGCTCCTTGGTGGGAGTAGGGATGGTGGTTGGGGTTGCATTTTCAGGAACTAGGGCTGGGAGTTGGCTGGACAACTTGGAGTACATGGGGTGAGATGAGAGGACAGGCCTCCCAGGACTTTGTGTGTATGTGTGGTGCCTCCAGGAAGTGGGGCTGTGTCACCAGAAGCTAGGGGTGTGGGGAGGACACTGGGAAGAATGCGTTGCTGTGCACCCCACCCAACTCTTTACTAAGCTTTGCTGGCTCAGTGGACAGCTCCTGTCTTGACTCTGAGGGAAGGGAGAGCTGGTCTGCAGCCTGCATGAGCTTGCTACTAGGCTTGGTCAGAATGTCTGCTGGAAGTAGGACCATCCTTACAAAGCCCCAGCTTCTGGCTCCTGCCCAAGCTCAATGGGTTCACTAAATCCCTAGAGAAGCCAAGACCCTGTGTTTTGGGAAGGGACTCCTGCACCGGTGAAAGGTAGAAGGATCTACTGTTGTTCTGAGTACCTTAACACAAACTCAGGCCAGGAGGAGCTGGAAACGATCCACAATTGGTTTCTTTCAAAGGACCTCAACTTCCAAAACTCCCGCATCTTAGGTGTACCCCAGGGTTCCCAAAAGCAGCCCCAAAGGACATAGTGAGTCTGGCCTGGAGTGTCCTGGAGTAGACTCCCTGGGGCAGGTGTGGGACTGGAGCCCGCGGGTCGGTGCAGACGGCAGTGCAAGGCGGTTCGCAGTGATGTGGAATGAGGTGGAGCGCTGGCGCCCTGAGCGGGGACGTCGAATCACACACAGCCCACCGCACTACAGCAACCCGGGAAGGAAGGGACCAAAGCCAGGGGCTCCCTGCGGAAGGAAGAGCCTGGTTTCCCCGCGGCGAGCTTGGCGGTCTGCTGTCGGGCTGGGCCTTTGGGGAGGAGAGGGTCAATGTCCGGCGCTTGCGGATTTCGCAAACACCGAGCTACAGCTGGCTCGAGGAGCCTGCTCCCTGCGCCTCGACGCCTCGGAGCAACAGCGGTCACTGCGGGTCCGCCTCATTGCCCAGCCCCTTGGGTCGCCATCAGGGCGGTGGGTTAGCATCTTCTTTGTCCTCAGGCCCTTCCAAACGGAACCGAGTCGTCCACCCCTTTCTCTCCCCCTCCTCCATCCTCCTCCCCGCATATCTCCTTCGATCTGGGGTGCGGTGCGGGACTGAGTCCCGCTGGGACCTGAATTATGACAAGTCTCTCTTGGCCCACGGAAGCGTTCCATTCCTGCAGCAGTTCCCATCCTTGGCGGAAAGGGCGGCTGCATGGTAAGGGATTGGGATCCTGCTAACTGAACCCAGGCAGCTCCTGCCTCACAGTAGAAGCGGTCTTCCTTCCGGGGGACTGGTGGCCTCCGGCCTAGATCTCGCCTGGAAGTGCTCAAGGTCCAGACGTGGTTAAACAGTCTTCGCTGTGTCCAGGCACTGGGCCTGGAGGGTTGGGCAGGCGACGTCCCTCTCACCCAGGTCGCCCTTTGCAGCTATGGGTGTGAGGGGGAGGCGTGCAGATCAGGCTGAGGCTGACTGGAAGGAAAGTAAGAGCCCTCCATTATTTGTGCACATATGTCCTCTCCACTTTTGCAACCTTTCCCAGAGACGCAGAAAGGCGGGACTGGAGGGGAGATGCACAGGAATATTTTCCAGACATGAAGGGCGGGTGGGAGGAGTGTGTGTGGGGGTTCTATCCTGGACCCCGTGGGAGCTCACAGGGGTAAGCGGAGAGTACCTGAGGCTGGAAGACTTCCTAGAAGGGAAGACATTTGAACCGGGCTCCGTGGGTGTTCAGTGCGTGTTTGTTAAATGAATGAGTGCTGGGTTTTCCAGTCGGAGTGTATTGGAAGGAAGGTGTAGAGAGGACTGAGGCACTTCTTTCAAGCTTGGCATAAATTCACAAGTGCCTCTCCTGTGGAAAAACTCAGATAGGGTTAAAAAAAAAAGATTAAATTTGTGTGATTTCATGTTACGAAGTCACAGCCGGAGGGGAGTGGCTTAGGGATGAGACTTGAGCTATATCCTTCCTTCCTTCCCTCTGGAGGACAGTTGGTCGTTGCTTCCCTGAGGCTAGGGAATCCCTCAATCTCAGGGGATCTACTGCACAGGGACATATGTAAACAGTCACACTGTCCTCTGCTCTCTTTGGCTCTGGAAAGGGTTCAGAAGGGAGTTCAGGACTGGGGTGAATTGAGTGAGGTACTTACCTCTGGGATTAAATTTAAGAGGGTGCCAAAAAACTCAGCAATCAAGATAAATATATTAATGTGCTACTTTTAAATTAATGCAAAAGATCCATGATGAAATCTTACATAAAGATAGACTCTAACCTTGCACTTCCACAACCCTTCTTTGCTTGACTCCCAGGCTACTGCCTGCCCCAGAAGGCAATTAAGAGCGCAGTGCCCACAGTGCAGACAGAGTTTGAGATTTATCTGAAGACAGTGGGAGCTGTAGACATTGTGGAGCAGGGAGTGAACTGATAGGAGTATATGTAAAAGAAACCCTCTGGCACTTGATGAGAAGCAACTTAACCAACACCCCACCCCCGAAATGAGACTCAAGTGGGGTGAGGGAGGGTAGCTGTCCATCCAGTTTGCCTTCCGCCCGCTGCACTCCCCATCCCCAACACTCAGGCTTTGGATCCCCTAAGTGTAGTCTAAGGAGGCAGAAGCACCAGGATCCCCTGATAGTGCTGGTTAAAAAGGCTAATAGAATGGCTAAAGTGGTAGAGCGCCTGTCTAGCAAACATAAGGAGTTTAAACCCTAGTACCACTGGAAAGAACAAAAAAAAAAAAAAAGGCAGACTTGCTGTGCACCTCCCCACTTTTGTTGAATAAAAATTCCTAGAAGCCGGGTGCAGGTGGCTCACGCCTGTAATCCTAGCTACTCAGGGAGGCAGAAATCAGGAGGATCAGGGTCTCAAAGCCAGCCCCGGCAAATAGTTCGCGATACCCTATCAAAAACGGACTGGCGGAGTGGCGCAAGGTGAAGGCCCTGAGTTTAAGGAAAAAAAAAAAAAAAGATCCCTGGAAGTATGTATGGTACTAGAACTTGCTTTGTTGTTGCTGTTTTTCGGTACCGGTACCAGGGCTTGAACCCAGGGCCTACACCTTGAGCAACTCCACCAGCCCTTTTTTTGATAGGTTTTTTTGAGATAGGGTCTCGTGAACTATTTGCCCCGGCTGGCTTTGAACTGAGATTCTCCTGATCTCTGCCTCCTGGGTAACTAAGATTACAGGTGAAAGCCACCAGCTGCGGCTGTGGCTGTGTTTTGTTTTTCTGAAACACGATCTTGCGCTTCAGCCCAAGCTGGCCTCAAACTTGAAATTCTCCTGCCTTACCCTCCTAAGTGCTGGGATTTCAGACATATACCCCCACGCCTGGTTGCTTCCATTTTTAATTCATTTACTGAGGTAAAATATACATACCTGAAATCCACCCAGTGTAAGAATAAAATTTGATGATTTTTTTAAGTAAATATATAGTTTTATAACCCACTGTCACAATCCATTTGAGACATTTGTCGCCCCTTAAAATTCCTTCATTTCCATCTGTACACAATCCTCATTCTCACCCCAGCCTTAGGCAAGCACTGATCTGCTTTCTGTCTATAAATTTGCATACTCTGGACACACTGCATAAATACAGACTTTTGCACCTAGCTTCTTTTACTTAGCATAATGTTTTGAGGCTTATCCCTGTTGTAATATGTATCAGCTATTTTTTTCGCTTTTATTGCCCAGTAGTATTCCTCTGTATGGAGGTAACACATATTTTATCTATCTTTTGGACAGTTGGCGGGAGCTTGAGATGTTTCCACGTTTTGGTTATTATGAATAATTGCTGTTGTGGATGTTTATATACCTGC